GAGCTGAAGTCCACATATCTTAGAGTTGATAAGGTTGAGAAACACTGATGTAGAGTCTTCATAAGGGACTACAAATACAATGAGAAAAGGAGTTGCATTGGCTTGCAATCTTTGTGTTATTTTGACCTGTATTAGCATGCCTCTGTACAGTTAAACAGATAAAAGACACGGTTATCATAGTGCAATGGTAAGAAAGGATGCTCCTATTTCCCCTATACTGTATCTTAAGCAACAGGAGATCCATGTATGTTACCAAGCCCCCTGTCCCCTTCTCACTACTATCTGTCATAATTTTCTGTCCAACTTTTTTGAGAAAGTGAGCCAACACGTCTGCCTTTCCAATGTTTCTGCATAGTGCCTTTCCTGTGTTCAGAACAAGACAACAAATCCATCATGCGCATTAGGGAGTTTAGGATAAGAACCCCCAATTACCCGAAGATAAATCACTGCTACAAAAGGTCTCCCTTCTGAGATGCTTCGATACTTTCAGAGATCAGAATGGAGGAGATAGCCACACAGTGGTAATTTCCAGCAACGTTCCCATAGTTCGTACAATGCTTTGACTTTGCCTATAGTGAAATGTACATTGATTCTGCTTATCAGCACTAGGCAAGAATGCCAACTTCTAACCTTTTTTAAAAAAATTCAACGTACCCATTGTATGATAAAGGCTTTTCAGAGAATAGCTCATGTATGTAACATGAGTTCTATGTGACAATGCTGTGGAAACTGCAACAGTGTGCTTTTAAATGTTCCATGGTAGTCAAGATCTATTTGCCTCTAAGTTGAAACAGACGTGTAAGTCTCTGGGCATATTTCTCTCCATTTCTGTTTGTTTTGTTATGCCATTCTTGCCTATGAAGAAAGCTAGGCATTTATATTCACATTTACCTTAACCCTTAAAATGCCATTTCTACCAACAAGGAAGACTAAAGGGTCAAGGTTACCTCGCTACTTCACATCTTCTGATGCTGGGAAATGATCCTTCTTATTTTTACTTTGCTGTAAGACTTTAATAGTCCCTTCTGCCTGTGTTTCTCCCACCATATTTGCAGCATGACACTGGTAAACGCCCTCATCATCTTTCGTCAGTGGATTAATCTAGGGAAAAAAAGACACACAAAACACAGTCTTTTTTTGTTTTGTTTTGCTACTGTAATTGCAGTGTGATTGTGGTTGCATGCATGCAATCTGTTTTTATATTGTTTTCGATAGAAACAGACTGAAAAAACTCTTCTTGACTGGACCATTTAGCGAACCTTTGGATACAGTAGTCTCATTTACTATTTAAGAACAATAATTCTTGTGAAGTGATAAGTCCTCTCCTTGTACACCTTTCCTTGTACACTGTTATGATCAGTTCAGAACAGACGTAATAATTAAGAGCTTTCTTGGCAAACAATTGGGGGAAAAACAACCGTGTCTACTGTATTGTTTATTTATTATTTCAAGGTATTGGGCCCTGTAAAATTAGCAGTAAATATTAACATGTATAAAGTTAAATTCCAACAAAGTCAGGTCCAATCATTATCACAGATAAAGGCTCCCTGAGTTAAGATCAGTTCCTCACCCATGGTAAATCTGTTGGCAACAAAAGAAGTGGTTTGTTACAGCCTTCTTCCTGGCTGTTTTTGCCTTTCCTGGGTTAGCCTACAGCTGCAGGCTTTCTTCATGATCTTCCATTCAAGTACTAGCTAGTCTGACCCAGAGTAGTCCATAGGGTGTAAGATGTTGGTCACAATGGTGCAATCAAAGTTCCACCTGTTTTTTTAATGGGCATCACACATAAAAAAAATAGAGCTTTGATTGTACCGTCATGCTGACATCTTTACTTTTTTGACCATACCCTGAGGACATCTTGGTCTGGCCCTGCTCAACTTTTGAACTCAGACAAAGACAGCTGGGGGCTGCCAACTGCTCTAAACAAAGTTATCATTCAGAGGCTTTCCTGAAGATATGTTTATGAAGATTCTCAGTCATCCAGGTGGAATTGTCTGGAGGTTGAGTCATGGCAACTGGACTTTTCTTTTTGGTTAGAGACATTTCGGTACTTGTCCAAGCAGCTTCTCCAGTCTAAAAAGGTTGGCTGGGGGGCCCCATAAAAACTTTTATGGGGTCCCCCTAACCAACTTTTTTAGACTGAAGAAGCTGCTTGGACAAGTAGCGAAACATCTCTAACCAAAAAGTAAAGAAGTCCAGTTACCATGACTCAACCTCCAGACTTTCCTGAAGATAGAAGGAGTTGAAGCTTACAGAATATATACAGTAATAGATTAGGTATCTATTCTAAACAATATGGTTTTATTATAAATAGTAATGTAGTGATGTATTGCTATATTGCCACTTAGTTTTTTATATAATATTATAGTTAATTTTAAAAGAATGTTAATCGTAACAGTTTTTGAAGTTTAAATTTGAAAAGATCAGGGAGGAAGAGGAGGAGAGAAGGAGGAGGAGTAGTCAAGGCTAAGCACAACTGTATTTTCTCCATAATTTTCAAGTTTTATTTTTCAAGGTTTTCCCCCAGTTTTTAAGGTGGATGTCCATGTGAACTTATGCTGTTTTGCATATGTGCTTTCTTGCACAGGCCACAAGGAGTGGCTACTTTGGAAATTAAATTCCTTCCCACTCTTGCAACAAACACTCATGTTTCTTGGAGTTCTAGATCTGGATAAGAGAGCAATTCTTCTTTGCAAGAAATTGAGATAACTGGGCCTACATAGAAAAGGCATCTTGATTGATGTTCAAAGCCATCATCAGTTCCAGCAATGAATGGGACTGACACACTGCCATGAACAGCTGGCCTCTTTCTACCTGTCTTTTTTAATTCTCCAACCCTGGGAACCCTTTAAAAAATCTTTTGTTGGAGGAAGGTAGGGATTCTGGTTCCGATTCAACAAAATAATTCTTTCCATTAAACCCTGGAAAAAGAAGGAAATTAAATGGGAAGACTTTGAGATTGTTCCCATTCTTCACCGAGCAGTGGGCACAGCATGATGTCTAAAAGTGAGATAGCGCAGGGGAAGCAACATGTTTGTGACATAAGCTGCCAAAAAATACCTTGTCATTGAACTGACTACTGTTAACGGTGGTTCGGTATTGTAATTTGAATATATATGCAAAGTTTTGGGCTTGGTTGAATTCCGCCCCCCCCCAACAGTCAATGAAAATGTTTTATGTTACTGAAAATGGTATTGAAATTCTAGTTCTAAATCTTGAAATAAATTATGATCGATAAACTGCCAAATTTTATCATGTCATATATTACCATTTTATGTCACAATATATCACCATTCTTCTGTTTCTTATATTGTTAACTTTACTAACTGTAATTTCTATGGGGAAAAGAAATAGAAAAAAAAGGCATGCAGTTTGAAATATAGCATATAGATGGGAGCATGTGCTCCACACTGGAACTCAATTAATATTCAGTTGGAGAAGAAAATACAGAAGGAAATGCTATTTTATACATAATATATTTAGGTTTTATAGGTTGGTCAAGTTCAGATTTCCAAGCAAAAAACAATGAACTTCAGCACATTACTCTGTGCATATCCCTAGTGGGAATTCTCCATCAGCAAAGAGCAATGGAGTGCAAGGATGGATAATCTTACTGTCAGTGAAAAGGGACTTGAAAGAGAATTGCACTTTGGCTACAAAGCCTAAAAACCTTTGATCTTCCCTCACACGAGAGATATCCTTCAAGCCAGCATAACAAACAGAATGAACAATGGTGGAGATCCTGTTCCACCCAGACATAGATGCAGAAGTTATAGTTCCCATACATACCTCTAGTATCCTTTTAGTAGACCCAGGACATTTCTAGATCTTACAAAGCTCCTCTGCATGTGGCAGAGCTAACACTTTTAGCCATTTTTTTTAATGATTTGGGGGAGTTAAGGAGGAACTTCATGGGGCAAAATCAGTGTCTTAGACCATGCACAGCTCTAAGCATCCATTTTATGCCCTAATATTCCTGAAACCCCACAACTAAGTCAATTATTCCCATTTTGAATGTTTTACACTTCTAAGAAGGCACCCTTCACCATAAAATCCGAATTCCACAAAGCCTGGAAAATTTGGCCCTGCCCATTCGCAAGTTACACCCACTGTGGCCCTCAGAGGGCAATTTCTTTTTTTGGTGCATTTTTCTGTTTCCTCCAGGGCTATACACAGCCTTTGGCTGAATTTCAAAATCCGTTTTGTTGCAATCAAATCAATCTCTGGCAAGAGCAACCTATCTACCTCCTGATAGTCTGTTGGGAAGGGTAGGATCATGATGGTAGGAATACATGGGATGATGGAAGAAAATAAAAGAGGAAGGGAGAAAGGAAGGAAGGAGAGATGGAACCACCGACATTTGGCTTTTATACCACTGTTCATTGGGTTCAATCTCACTCACTGCTGACATACAGCCCTGATGGATCATTCACCAAAGAAATGAGATCCTCAGCAGAAAAATCATTTCACATCCCAGTAGCTATCCCATTACTAATTGCCTTCTTCTCACCTTCTGACATACTTACCAAAACCCAACCTGTGCTCTCATGCTTAGAAGGACCACCTCGAACTTGAACAGCCATGTTTACTCTGTCTCCAGGTAATTCTTCTAAGAGCCTAACTCCCTTTGGGGACTCAGTGACCTATGGAGTTTAACAAGGACAGCATACTTGAAACAGATTCATTGGCTTAAAATTATTTATATATTTTATTCAAATATTTGTATATAACAATTTTTATTTAAAAAAATCTTGAAGCTTTAATATACCTTATCATAACCTTATACAGTATTCCGGTATTCTATTACACTTTATTTGCTGTAGCTGTTATAATCCTTTTCCTAGCCTACAATTGCTCAAGACTCCCCTTTCTGGGGTTTTTCATAGGCTTAACCATCTAATGTAGGGTGGACATTTGGAGGCCCCCAGACCACTATTTTGCACCATCAGACCCCCTTCTGATCACTGCTGCCAAAAATCAAGGGCATCCTGGGAAAGAAAACACAAGAAATTTGTTGTGCAAATCCTAAAATACCCCCAGTGCAAATATTTATTTAAAAAAATAATTGAGAAGGCTTGCCATACACAACTTGTATCACTGCCTCACTCACTTCAATCCTTTAGCCATCCACAAATGTTAAGTATGGCCTGTGGCCACAAAAAGGTACTGACTATTGATCTAACAAAAAATAGGTGAGAATCTACCTCCATCACATGACAGTCTTTTTTAACAGTTAAGACCTGGATCTGCCATCTAAATGCACTGTACATTCAGGAATAAACAGAACTCATTGAATTTAAAATACATCTATCTTCAGGGCCTTAATGCTTTTGTCAGCTCCAACTAATTAAGGGGCAATGAAAAACAGTGTTATCTACTCAAGGACCTGGCCTTTGGCTGAAGGTGCTGGTTCTAGAAGATCCAGGATCAGCTGAATATAGATCACTACCTATTTCCACAAGTTAGATATTGCTCTTGAATCAGAAGCATGGCTGGCATTGAACTAGCTGCCTGATTCAGCCAACTAGCATCCAGAAGAACCCTTAACCTACTTTCTTCCAGGTGATGATTGGTGTTGGAACTGCTTTCACTTCACAGGACAGATAGACCTGGGCTCCAGTTACATTGTGAATCCTTTTTGGTGGCACAACTATAGCAGGAGCTGTAAGCAAGAGAGAGATACTGCATTTTAGAATTACTGTGCTTCCATATGGAAATAAATAGATACATTTGAAGGTTGAACTTTTTAGCATTGTGAGTTTTCTGTGGAATGGAGACTATAAAAATAGTTCCCTTGGGTGAGGATGGTCAGTTTAATTCTTTGCGTTCATGTCAGTACTAGTAAAATAAATTGAACTGCCTTAAAGTTATATTTAATTTGCTAGCATGGAAATATGATGTTCAACAATTCATGAAGAACAATCCTGAAATTGGAACCTTGTACAGAACTTGGATTCTTGAGAGGAATATAAATTACTATTATATATCTTTTTAATTGTCTCTTCTTCCGAGACAACTGTTGAGAAGCATCAGGAAACATAAAGACAACTTAAGAAAAAAGCTGCAATTGTCCAGGATGTGGTGCTGTTGCTCTCTTGTGGACTTCAGTCATACTTCCTCATGCAGACAGTTTCTTATCTACAGTAGTCAGAGTTCTCAATTCTTTTGAAAGATAATTCCAGGGTCTGAAAAAAAATCAGCTTTTAAAGAATGGAAATAAAGTATGAAAATGATTACAGCTGTACAAAGCAAGAATCCCAGAAGCTCCTGATCTGCATAATTGTGCAATGTTTGAGTTTTTGGGAATTGAATTATGCCCAGATTTGTTCTGATGTAGGTAAGAAAAAAAAAATTGAAATTGAGTGTTCAGTCTTCCACTACAATACTCCACACTCCATTAAGCTCAGGAACAGGCAATCTGTGAACTTCCAGATGTTGTTGAATTTAACTCCCAAGAGCCCTAACCAGTATAGCCGATGCCAGGGGCTGCTGGGAATTGTAGTCCAGCAGCCTCCCAAATTTCTAATACTAAATCAGGATTCAAAGAAGATAAGCTAGAACTTATTTATCAAGGTTTCTAACAGTTTTAAATGGTTTTAAAAATTATCATCTTCCTATTATTTAACATTTTAAAATATATGTTTTTGAATAATCTTCTGCAGTTCATTCTGGCAAGGAGTTAAAAAAAAACAATGTTTCTGATGCTTTTATAATTGATATTGCTATTTTTTAATTTTGCATGCCTCTGAGTACTATCTTAGTAAAGAGCGTGATTCTAAGTCACTAAAATTCACAGTCATTTTAAGTCTGTGAAGGCACAGATTCCTCATTCAACCATGTTCTATTTCATTGGGTAACTCTTAGGCCAATCTATATTTCTGAATCCAATTACTTTATTGGAACGACCGCTGAAATGATTAAATGCAAGGACAGAAGATTCCCATATATTTTGCTGGGTACCCCAAATGAAAAAAGTGGAATGTAATAAACAGCTACTTTATAAATGATACATAATTCCACGCACCCAAAGGATTTTTAGTATCAGAATTTTTCAACATTATCCTCTGAAGGTGGGGGGGGGGGAGTTCCAAAGCCAACTTATACTTGGCTTTCTATATTTGAAAGGATTGTAACTCCACGCTTTCATTTATTCCCAAGTCTCTTTTGGGTTCTGGGACACCCACAACAACAAAAAAATTCTTTACATCTTATTTAACAGAAGTGAAAGTGGAATAAATATACATCCCAGGGGTGGTGACTCTCTTTCAAACCAGCAAGGCAACTCAAAGGTTCACGTGTCTTAATCTTCCCCTTTTGATTTCATGCAGAGTTCTCTCTTAGCTGTATCTATGGCAACATTTCAGAATGGCGGCAAGCCTTCTGGGATGGGGGGGGGGGCTTATAAAATTAAGCCAATTTCCTTTCAGCTTCCACAATTCACAAGGAACATGCAGACAGTCTGGATTCCCTTGCCATTAGCACTGTTTCCCCTGCAGATGGCAATTATCACGGGGGGGGGGCACTTCTGAATCAGCCTCTGAGAACACAATATAGAATCCTCATCTATATTAGGCTGTTTGGAATTGACATGGCAAGATGTGTTCCACACCTGGCATGCTGGGAGAATCCCAAATAGACGATGCCTGCAGCTACAGCAGTACGGAAGACAGGAATGGGTGGTTGGCACCTGTCTCTTGTCCCAATGTTCTTTGAAAATGCTGGGAGAGCGAGGGAGGGAAAGGCCATCTGTTAGAAGAACTCCCATCTGTAACATTTCAAATGAGAAATTAATGTTTGTAGTAATTTTATTTAACTGCATCTGTAAGAAGGTGAAATGTCCTATCCAGTAATTTCCTCTGGATGCCAGCATTATAGGTAGTCCTCGTTTAGCAACCACCTCATTTAGTGACTGTTTGCAGTTACGATGGTGATGAAAAAGTAACTTTGCAACCAGTCCTCACATTTATGAGCTTTGCAGGTCTGCAAAGCAAAGGAAAGCTGAAGTAAGATCATAAAATTGTGATGTTTCACTTAGCAAATGCTTTGCTTAACAATGAAGTTGCTGGTCCCAACTGTGGTCACTAAACAAGGACTAACCATAATATCTGCTGAGTCTCTTCTGATCCATGGACGAGGATGACTAGGAAGCATAACTTTACGTCTCTTTAAGAGAGGGTTCTCTGTTAGATGTACTGTACCTTTCAATGATTTTTTGGGTGGGAGGGGTAGTAGAAAAATCTGTAGACCTTACACTTCACAAAAGATGGCAATGGTATAACTCTTATTTTACACTTTTACAGTTTTTCCATATATACTAGTGATTAACAGATAGCACTGTCATAACCACATTAAGTCCCCTGCCAATGCTTTTGGTGGGCAAAAAAGATGTAAACTAGATTGCCAAGGAATAAAATTCAAACTGTCTGCAAAATGTGACATTTGGCAACAGATTTACAAACAAATCTCACTGTCCTAGAACAAATAGGGCAAGGATACTGGAGTAGAAAGATTCAGAAACACTTTTCTCATGTTTATAGCCCTGAGAAATCAAGTTTTCTCCCGTTTATAGTGAGGAGTTCTTTGTGATTAAAACTGATTTCCATCTGCATGGTCATACTGCATGATAAAATCAACACTATCAGGATCAACAATATTTTTTCAAATCTTTTAGCCTGCAAGGGCTGACAAACATATACCAAGATACAATCAGTAGTTTTTAAAATGTCATAAAACTTGCTACTTTTGCTTTGGCAGACTTAACACCATTTCCTTCTAGACAGATGAACAATGACATTTTAGACAGGACATGAAAAAGATGAGATGAAAAAGCAGAATCTACTTTTCTCAGTAATATTACTATGTATTTCTTATGTAGGGAACTAGGGGAATTTGGGGGAGAGGCATAATTCTTTGACATAGGGTAACAGAAGTTTATCAAAAATGTAGAAGAAAACATGCAAAAACAAACTTTTCTTTGCTGCTGTTGCTTCAGTGGGATCATTTTAGTGTTCTTCTATAGTAAAATGATTTTTTGTTCATTACTTTAAGTATTATATGTTGTATACTATCCATCCATCAAAAAAGAACAGGAAGGGAAGCAGTTTCAAAATACTGAAATACTGGGACTTCATGGAAAGAATTTCCATGTTCAATTACTTCTGCAAGGACATACAGACAACAGTAAGGTTTTCTTACACCTTCTGATATATGATTCTACCTTTTTAACAAAGAGTTAATAACCAAAAAGAATTAATAATCTTTTTTGGGGGCGGGGAGGGTCTTTGAGCCAATCTTGACTTCCTGGAGACTGCCTGGACTAGTCCCTGCAATTTTCTTGACAAACATTTTCAGAAGTGGCTTGCCCTTGCCTCCTTCCCAGGCTGAGAGAGAAGGACTGGCACAGGGTCACCCAGCTGGCTTTGGGCCTAAGGCCAAACTAGAACTCACAGTCTCCCAGTTTCTAGTCTAGTGCTTTAACCACTACACCAAACTGGCTTTCTAATAAACAATACAGCATATATAATAAGGAGCTAACTGAACTGCAGACATGAATGCCCAAATTCTTGCTCAGTCACAAGCAAGTGCCACTTCCTCTAAGCTTTCATTAACAAAGAAAGCTTTTGTTAAATGATGATGATGACGACGATGACAATGATGGGGCATCCCTTACGAATACCCCCACAAACTCCTTTAAATAAAGGCAAGCCATGATTATAAGTAAGGTGCTAGATTTCTGTATTTTAATAAAAAGATTGTGCCTGGATTTGTCCCCTATCTGTAACCGACTTCTGGCAGATCATTTTATCCACCACAAAACCCAATTACAAGGATGACTTCTCCGTACTGCTGCTGTATCGGTTTGCTTTGTTCGCTACCTCCCCATATTTTCCGACCGCAGAATGCATTTCCACAGGAGCCAAAATAGGTGGGGTTTCCCAGACACCAGTTATTCATCCACAGAGCTAAGCTTCACAGATGTCAATGCAATTCAGCCTAGGCAGAATTTCCTGCAGTTGCAGGAGACTGGGTAAACTAAACAGTCTAAATTGAGGCAGCTAGAATGAGCACTCAACCTAGTTTACTCAAGATGCCAAAAAACCTGGGGGGGGGGAGTGGAGAAGAGATGCAAATCAGCATCTTTTCCTGAATCTCAGCTATTGATTAAAGACCTCCCCCATCTCCCATACACACACACACAACTCCTTTCCTTGCTGATACTTAAACTCATAGAAATTAAATGATGCCAACTAGTAAGCACATCTGAGTAGATATGCAGCCCTTTACTATCTTATGTGGTTTTACCTAACCTGATTTAACTCCAAAATATGTTTAGTATTGTTAGAAGTCCTGGAAGAGCCAGAAAATTAGCTCTGCCACTGAGTCACTTTCATACGAACTGAGCTGATGTTCAAAAAGTCCCTTCGTGAAAGATGTGAGATTCTAGAAGAGACCTACTCCATGTAATGCAGCCAACATTCAGGGGAAAGATGTTTCTCTTCCCTCCAGGCCAAGGCTTAAACAGCCTGACGCTTGTTTCTTCCAGAGGAAGCAACAAAGGTGGATGATCTTCAGTTCATGCAAGACATTCACTCATGGTAATCCATATTGTGATTTACAGAATTAACTCTGGTGCCCAGGCTCACACAACCCACTGAACTCTAA